TCCTGCCAACTGAGGATGGAAAACCCCCCAACCCCCCACCCCCGCTCCCCGCCCGTGCTGCTTGCATTCTAGTAAGAGGAGACAGATAACAAGAAAGACAGCTCTGCAGAGAATGGAGAAGAGTGAGTCGTGGTTACGGAAGACTTCCCGGAGGAGTCGTTGGAGCTGCTGCTTGCATGACAAGAAGGAGCTAGCCAGGGGATGAGAGGAGGAAGGACTCGCCAGGAAGACGGAGCCTTAAGCGAGGGAAGTGGGACTATGCGCCCCCAGCCTAGGAAGAGGCGCTCTGGGCGGGCTGGAGACAGCCCCTCCCGGCCCTTTAAGGAGTGGCGCCTGGGCGCGAGCCGGCTTGGGCTGCGACAGAGCCCCTCGCGGCTGCTGATTGGGCGGCGCAGCCAAAATGAGCTGCTCCGCGGGCGCCGATTGGTGGGCGTGGGCCGGGCGCCGCCGCCAGGTGATTCGGGGTGTGGGTTCCCGCGGCCACGTGCGGGGCGCGGGGGCGGCGGGGGAGGGCGCAGGCAGTAGTGGCGCCGGAGACGCGGGAGGCTGCCGGGGGTGGCGCACGGCCCGACGCTGCAGAGACGGGACTCGAGAGTCGGCGGCCGCGGTGAGTGAGTGGCCGGGACCCTGGCCCGCGCTGGGCCAGGACAGCTGCTCTGGCGGGTCGGGGGGAGCTCGGTTCCGAGGCGCAGAGCTGAGGGGAGGGTCTCGAATAGTAAGGGAGAACCCGGCACTGCTCTCCATCACCATCGTCATCCACCACTATCGCCATCGCTTCCACCGTCACCTGCCTTGCTTGCCTCTGGTCCTTGGAGTCTCCTCTTTACTCGCGGCGAGGGGCTGGCAACGCTCACCAGGAATTATAATAGTAGCCGCAAGAATGATATCCGATGCTGAGGAGCGCTTTGTACCGCCCAGGCGCCGACCTCTTACGTGGTTTCGGCCCCACTTGATCCTGAAACCAACACTTTCCGCTCGAATGTTGTCTGTTTAGAGAAGCCAACCTCGATTACGCCGCAGTAAATAGCACCCCTAATACACACACCCTGACACATTTCATATCCTCCTTACCCTACTTTACTTTTCTCAGAATCAAGTAGAGCCCCTTGAAATGTTGTTTGTTTCTTGTCCTGTCCCCCCACTCCAGCTTGGGTTCCCTGAGGGCTGGAACTTTGTTTTGTTCACCTGCAACTGTGCCTGGCACATAGTCGGCGCGAGGGAATATTCTCCAAAGGAACAAATAAATGAACAACCCCGGGAGGTAGCCACTATTATTATCCCCACTTTACAGTTGAGAAATGGAGGCTGGGAGGGTACGTGACTTGCCCAAGGCCACATCCCCTTGGATTGGACCCTACAGTTCGCGTTCTTTGACCCCAGTCCGTGTGACCCCTAGGCTGGGAGTGGGGGGTGGTATGATCAGGTGTGTTGGGGCAAGGGGCTCCCCTGTGTGTGCTGAGTGGGGACGACACTGGCCATCAGACCATCTGGCCCAGAAGTAGCCGGAGAGAGAAAGCAGCAGTTTTGCTGATCAGATCAGTACCCAGCACCTGAGGTGCTGCTGTCTGCTGCAGCTGCTTCCTTGCATCACCCATTCCTGGACTGACTGGGATCCACCAACCTCCAAAGGTGGACACCCTGCTTGCTTGTGTGGGGTTGGGGTGGGGTGGCTCTGAGCAGAGGGCAGGGCCATGGCCTAGGGAAAGATTCCCAGAGACCTGGGTTTGCTTCCCAGCAACACCCCCCACCCCGCTTGGCAAGTGACTTTGCCTCCCTGAGCTGTTTGCTGAACCCAGTGTGTTTGGTCAGGGTAGTCTCCCGGGATCCTATGGAGGTGGGCTGCTCCCCACAGTACAGCTCAGCTACAGTGCAGGAGTGGGCCTCCCTCCTTGACCCTAGAGGCAGACCAACCCATCCAGTCCTCTGCCTCGGAGCAGGGTCACCCACAAAATCTCCGAGGAGCAAGAGCCCGGTCTCTTTCCAAATGTTTCCCCTTAGGAAGGTGCTACTCCAGCCAGGCTTCCGGCAAAACCTCGCCAAGATAGGACTGGTCCAAAGAGATCAGTGGGCGTTTGTGCCTGGAACCAATAAGCAGGTTTATTTCCGAGGTTGGGGTGAGCCTGGTGCCCTACCTGGTCCCCTGGGGCACCCTCCCAACTCTGGCCTGAGGCTGAAGGTGCTGTGCCCCTCAGGTTTGGGAGGGGGGATGGAGGAAGGGAGAATCTTCCAGTTTCCAAGCAGGCTAAGGACAGGGGTGGAGGTGGGAGGTGAAGGAAGGACCAGGTGATGGTGGATGGCGTAAGGTGATGGCCCGTGACAGGGCCTGGGGCCTGGCCTGCCCACCCCTACCCCATAGCTGAGACACTGCGATGGCCCTGGATCTGGAGGAAGGAGGCTGTTCGCAGCCCTAGACACAGCTGTCTTCACCGTGTGAGCTAATATGTGAGTGTGTGATAACCAGTGTGGCTCCTCTCCATGAACAGCTTCGTGCCTGAGTGGCTGTGTCCGTGCCACCGGCAGGATACGGAATCTGCCCCTTATCTCTCCAGCCTCCCACCTCTCCTCTCTGTCTCTCTTCTCTCTCTGCTCCCACGTCCAGGGCTGCCTTTTCTTCCTCTGTCTTTCCCTCACTCCCTTCCCCCTTGTTTACTTTTCAGTCTTTGTACCTCCTCTCTTCCCAATGCCTAGGGGTACAGGGCTTACCCTCATGTGACTATGAAGTTAAAAGGTGGGTGCCCTGGAAGCCCCCATCCCTTTACCTGGAACCAGCAAGATGTTTCAGTACCGGTTACACATCTGACTTTGCTTTATTATCTTGAAAACCTAAAATGTACAATAGGTAATGGACATGATATGAAGAATGACTATGATCCAAAAGTAGGGGTGGGTGCAACACCCAGAAAAGAAGCAGGAGGGGTGAAGTGTAGGAGAGAGGCACCAGGGAGGTAAAGCCCTTATTTTCTGGCTCTTCCTGCACTGGTAGATCACCACTGGCACTGTCATGCTGGACTGAGCCTGGGGTTGGAGGTCATGGGCATGCCTAGGTGGGGGCTGTTCCAGTGTCAGTTCCGGAGCACCTACACTCTCCTTCCCTGAGGACTCTGAATGTGAGTGGGGGCAGACCCAGGATGCACCCACTTCCTGCTAGGGCCGTGTGTCCCAAAGCTGCTTTCTCTTTGCAGGAGCCAGGCCCCACAGACCTCCCCTCCTGCCCTGCTTTCCCAGACTGGGTGGTCACCTAGCATTGTGGCCCGGTACAAGGGGAACTGAAAACAGACCTCACTGCCCTCCCAAGCTCCTCCCAGAACAGCAGGCTTTGGGGTCCCCATCTCCTGGGAGCAGGGGCAGATTACCCATAAGCAAGGTACCCATGAGCTTACTTGTGCTTACTTACTAAACTGTGGCGCCCAATTTTACATGGGTTTTACCACATCTTTGATGTGGGGGAGAAACAGGTGAAATTGTGCACTATAGGTTAATAAGTAAGCCTGTGTGTACCTTGCTTATTGGGTCATCTGTCTCTGCATGGGAGACCATGTTTGTCGAGCATTGTCTGCGAGCCTGGCTGGCATCAGGCCAGCGCCTGCTCCTCTGTTCAGTTTCATCAACTCACATGAGCCCAGGTTTTCAGATGAGGAAAGGGAGGCTTAGAGAGGTGAGGCGGCTCACCCAGTGTCACAGGACTCGGACCCAGGTCTCTGATCCCAAGTGCAGTGGTTACAGGTAGCCTAGTGAGACAGACCACCAAGATGAGGGACGGAGGTGAGGGTCCACCTTGACTCCAGGAAAGATTGAGAGAGCAGAGTTCTTGAAGATGCAGGCAGAGTATTCAGCCATTCTTTCTGGTAATCATCTCTCCAATGATTCATTTATTCCTCCTTCATCGGCACCAGCTGTGGCCCTGAACGTGCCTGAGGAGGAAGCGTTCTCCCGCCCTTGAGGACATCTAGTGAAAGAGGTTTGCTCCACTTGTCTGTCCACTATAGTGGGTGTGGGAGGTGGGGGCTGAGGGACCCCAGGAAGCATGAGAGCATGAGAGCCTGGGCTTGGGGGCATTGTCCGCTTTCTCTACACCCTAACTCGAATCTGCACTGTCTGGCTTGGTTCTTGTTTTCAAGACCCACAAGGGGCTGGGGGCTTTGGAAAGGGGCTGGAATCAGGCTGGGCTGAATGGGCCACAGGCCTGTGAAGCAGGTCCCTGGCCTCATCAGCTCTGACCGTCCAGCTCATGGGCCACCCTGTGGACTACAGAGCTCCTGCCACAAAGCAGAGCCTCACTCCCCTAGTCCGGCATTTAGGGCTGAGCCCAGCCTGGGTCCAGCCTGCCATCTAAGGGCCCAGCTGCCTTCACTCCTCTGTGCCCTGGCATACTCCATTTTTGCTGCTGGAATGTCCTTCTTGCTGCCACTCTCCTACTGGCCCCCATCCTCTCCTCCTGGGTGGTGCCTTCCCAGGCTGCCCCCTCGCTTCCCCAGGCACTTTGTACAAGCTGCTTTACAAGTCTGTACTCCCCACCTCCTCCCCCTGGGGACAGGGTCCAGGTCAGATTAGCTCTACAGCCGGCACAGTTGGTGCTCCGTGCTGTGGAGGGAGGACTGAGGGTGCTCACCACCACACCCCTTCAGATCTCCTCAAATTCATCTCCTTGGTGAGGCCTTCCTAGCTACGCAACAGCCCCAAACTGGCATTTAATATTGTCTTCCCTGCTCATTACCATCTAACCTATTATATGTCTTTCTTATTATTTAATGTCTGCTTCCCCCATGGCTCCATGAGGGCAGGCAGGGGTTTTGTCATTTTGTTCAGGGCTGTGTTCCTAGTGCCCAGGTCAGTGCCTGGCATACATCAGGTGCTCTGTAAAGATTGGTCGGATGAATGAATGAATGAATGCAGCAGCCTCTGACGGGGAGCACTGGGGCTCGCCTGCCTGGGACCAACCTTCTCCTCTTGCCCTCTGCAGCCTTCTCCCTTGTGGGCTTGACGCTGGCATTCTGCGGGCCATGCAGAAGGCCGGGGCTGGTGGCCGGAGGGCCTCCGACTGTGGTCCTGCCCCTCATAGGCCCAGGTGCATCACCAAGTTTGCCCAGGTGGGTGGGGCCGCCCCATCCAGGTGTGCTCTGAGGGGCAGTTATTGGGTGGCAGGCCCTGGGGGAAGGGAGTTGTTAGTCAAGGGCCTGTTACCATGTCTGCCTTCTCTGACTGAGGCTTTGGAGTGTGTGTGCTCATAGATGAGGAGATGGGGCCCCAGAGCGTGCAGTGACTTGACCAAGGTCACCTGTTGGGAAGGTAGCAGAGCCCGGACTTCATGGACAGTGCTCCGTCACAGTCCACAGCTTATCTGACAAAGCAGAGTGTGTGGTGTGTGTCTGGGGGGAGATTGGAGGATGGGCCTCAGAGCCATGGGCCTGAATCCCTGCTTCCCACCCATCCCCAACCCTGAGCAGTATGTGGGCTCCTTCCCCGTGGACGACCTGAACATCCAGGAGAGTGTGTGGCTGGTACAGCAGCAGCTGTGGGCACTGAAGGTAGGTGGGCTAGGGGGCTGGGAACACACTTCCCCAATGAAGATCACAGCCTTGGGACGTCAGGTTGGGAATGGCCCTTCGGGACCATCTGGTCCACCTTCCCCACACACACTCCAGTGTAGAGATGGTGTGTGCATGCAGCCTAAGAGGTGCAGGATTAAAGCCACTCTGAGGTGGGCCCAGCCAGGACCATACCCAGGGACTCCCTTTCTCTGGGCAGTGTGAGACCTGAGCCTCACGGATGACAGTCACAGATGAGAGGTGTGGGAGATGGTCAGAACATAGCCAGCTTGGCCCTGGTCAGGAGGTGGCCCCTGGGAGCCATCCACACTTCCTCCAGCTCCTGGTGGGTCCACTGGCCAGGGCTCAGTCACCTGGCAGGTGAGGTGGAGCTGGCTGACCAGCCTTAGTGAATGGTCCTGAGATGGGGTGGGGCAGGGCAGGGCCCAGGAGATAATGCCTGCTTCCCCGCCAACTCTCTTCCCACCCAGGACTGTCCCAGACGCCGGGCTGTCATCCTGAAATTCAGCCTTCAGGGCCTCAAGATCTACAGCGGGGAGGGTGAGGTAGGAGCCGTGAGTATAGGTGAGGACTTGATAGGGACAGGTGTCTCCTCTCTCTGGGACATGCTCACCTCTACCCAGGTCTCGGTCTCAGCTCAGTCCCAGCCTCTCCCCCTGAGCCTCCCTGGCTCCCCAGCCTTCTGGGGCCTTTGTACTTTCTCTCTCAAGGTCCTGTCCCCCAGGGCGAGCTCGGGCAACAGTTTCTCCTCCATCTCCCCGCACCCTGCCCAGCCCTCCGCGGCTGCCTCCTGCCTGAGCATCAGGGACACCCAGCCCTGTGGCTGAAGTGTGGCTGCATTTCCACGGCTTCCCTGGCCTTTTGTAGGCCTGCCCAGCGGTGGCCTGTGGCCTGTGGCTGGCCTCTCATAGCAGTGGAAGGAGGCTATACTAAGCTGGAGGCTGTTGGGGGTCCCTTTTCAGATGCCCATCCTTTTCCTGCCCCTCATCTTCTCCTCCTGGTGCCCATCAAGTTCAGGTGTGATGACCTGAACCTGCAGGTCAGCAGTGGGGAGCCGGGGATCCAAGCCTTGCAGCCATGTAAAGGATGGGGGTTTAGATTTGAAGCAGGGTTGAGCAGCTCTGGGGGGTGGGAGGATTTCTTCACTCCAGGAGCCAGCTAGGCCCCAAGCTGGGCAGGTGGGAGAGCAGGCCCTGGGAGGCTGCTAGCAGGTATAGGGGTCCAGCTGGGCCGGCAGCCGCAGGCTAGGTGGCGGGTCTGATGGTGGTCACCATGCACCACTTCCCCAGGTGCTCCTGATGGCTCATGCCCTGAGACGCATACTCCACTCCACCTGGTGCCCGGCTGACTGCCAGTTTGCCTTCATTGCCCGAAACCCGCGGAGCCCGGCCAGCAAGCTCTTCTGCCACCTCTTTGTGGGCAGCCAACCTGGAGAGGTATCTGGGCCCAAGGCAGGGGACCACCGTGGAGGCTGGGAATGAAGGCAGGTTCCAGCTCAGTCAAGCTGCCCTGAGTCCCCTCTGGGTGTGTGCCCTCCCCACACCTGCTCCTTCTGCAGCTCTGCCCATTGAGGGCTCCCCAGAAGTGAGCCAGTGGCCTCAGCATCCCCTAGGGCCTGAGGTGGGACCCTGGCCCTGCACTTGGAAATTGTAGGGTCAACCTTCCAGGCCTTTGCGTGTGTTGTTCTCTCTGTCTGGAGTGCCTGTCCCTTCTCATCTTGCAAACTCCAGCGTGCCCTTCAAGGGTCTGAAGCCCACCCCAACTCCTCTGGGCCCTGTGGCGTGAACCGTGCTTCATCATCGGGCTGTCCCTAATTACAAACACTGAGTTGTCTGAGAGCAGAGACTGAGTCTGGGTCTTAAACTGTCCCAGTGCCTGTTCCCGTGTAGTGGATGGGCGAATGGATCTTGGTTGTCAAGGCCAGAGTGACTGTCATGAAGGACAGAGCCTTGGCGGCAGCCAGTTATATTACAAGCAGAGTCTGGGTTTGCTTCCGTGAAGTGAGCATTTGCCATTACCCATTGTACGCCAGACCCTGTTCTGGCTACTGGGGTGACAGGTGGCTGAGACAGGGTCCTTGATCTTTTGAAGTTCATGGTTCCAACATGTAGGGGCTAGACAGTGTGTCGGGGAAAAGGGGTAGAATATACTGGCCCAAGCCAAGTGCTGGGCCTATGCTGGAGGTTTTCTGTACTCTGCCTCATAGACTCCTCAAAGGAGCATAGAGAGGTGGAGATGAGGAAACTGAGGCACAGAGAGGTGCCATGCTCTGCCCAGGATCACTCAATAGCGCCTATGTGGCAGAGCCAGGATTGGAACCCTGGCACTGTGACTCCAGGCCTTGGGCTCTTAGCCACTCCTCAGAGGATCCACACACAGTGCTGGGGGAGGCGCGCATTTAGCCCGTGACTGTATTCCCAGCTCCAAGCATGGTGCCTGGCACAAAGTAGTTGCTCAGTATTTGTTAAAGAATAAAAGAAACTGTCAGAGGAGGCTGCATGGTGGTGAGATTTTGAGGGGTAAGTAAGAGTTTTCCCAGGAAGAATGAGGAAGAGCATCCCCAGCCAAAAAGCTAGCCATGCACTCATGGTGAATGGGTTGATGCCTAAGGAATTTCCCAGGAGACCTCTCCCAGCTGAGCCTACCTCCCGCCCCTCCCTAGGTCCAGATCCTGCACCTGCTCCTCTGTCGCTCCTTCCAGCTGGCCTACCTCTTGCAGCACCCGGAGGAGCGGGCACAGCCGGAGCCTTGCCCAGGGCCTGCAGGGGATGTGCCCCTGAAGCTACTGCGCAGCCCTCGGGGCCCCTTTGGCCTGGTACGGGAGCCCTTCAGCCGTGATCAGCTTTCACAGAACGTTCATGCACTGGTCTCCTTCCGGCGGCTGCCAGCAGAGGGGCCACCAGGCAGTAGGGTATGCAGCACCCCAGCTAGGGAGTGGGCAGTAGGCAAGGGAACTGGGTGAGGGGCTTGGGTGTCCTTGAGGAACACATGGGGGATCTGGACTTCAGTGGAGGGGGCTTCACATAGCTGAGCCTGAATATGTCCACGTGTCTCCATGACCCCTCTTGGTGCCCTAGAAGGAACTGCTAGAGTTGGAAGGCCGTGGGGGCACCCGCCATGCCCGCCTCGGGAATCCCTACTGTTCGCCCACACTGGTTCGCAAGAAGGCCATTCGCAGCAAAGTGATCCGCTCGGGGGCCTACCGTGGCTGCACCTATGAGACTCAGCTGCAGCTGTCAGCTCGGGAGGCCTGTGAGCGTGGGTGCATGCAGGGGCACACGTGTGGAGGAGCATGCCTGCCCTGTGGGCACCTGGGACACATGCCTGTATGCATCTGTGCCTGGGAGAGAGGGCAGCTGAGTATGCATTTCTGCAAGGCTGTGCTGCCTTTTGAGTAGGTGCCTGTGCACAAGTGTGTGCATCTGGTCTGCGCCCAGGGCTTACCTAGGTGACTGCATAGCTGTGTATGTGCGAGTCACGGTGTGCCTGTAGGGGGTGTCTTTTGGGGGACGGGATGTGTGCCTAATGGGTAGGGAAGAGGCTTGGTGGGGAGACAAGCATGGGGGTGATGGGGCCTGTGGGGGTGGGGCGGGCAGGCATGGAGAGATGGCACCTCTCCTGCTGACCCCTTCCTGGGCTGTCTCCTTAGTCCCTGCAGCGTGGGAGGCATGGCCACGGGGTCCCAGCGGCTCCGCATGCCTGGTGGAGAGCGAGGGCAGCTTAACCGAGAACATCTGGGCCTTTGCTGGCATCTCCAGGTAGGAGGGACCTGCCCTAGCCAGGTGTCCAGGCCCTTGGGTGGGCAGAGGCAGGGGCTGTGGGCTCCCCCAGGGCCCTGACATGCATGCTCCTCCCGCCCTCACTGACTGAAGGCCCGGGACTTCACCACCTGGGCCTCAGTATCCTCAAATGTAAAAGGATAATAAAAGGCCTTTATTGCAGGGCTGTGGAAAGGATCAAATGAAGTTTATTTTTTTTTTTATTGTACTTAAGGTGAAGGCTTACAGAACAAATAGTTTCTCATGAAACAGAAGTACACGTTGTTTTATGACATTGGTTAACAACCCCACAACGTATCAACCCCAAATGAGGAAGTTGAGGTGAAGCCCTCAGCACCTGGCCAGTTCTACAGGGCGACTGATCCCTAAATTGTCAGCTCTGAATTTCGAGGAAGCTTAGGCTATTTCCAGCCTCCAGAGCACATGCAGGGGCTAAAGCATCATTGAAAAAAACTCTCTCCCGATTGGGTCTAGAAGTTATCAAATTGAAAGACTCCTTAGAAACTTTTTAGTTTTTAAAAGCTTATTTTTATTGAAGGCCTACTCTGGGTCAGATTTACACATGACACACGATCGCGTGTCATCCGATCGCGTTTCGTCGGGCCACCTCTGCGCTGTTGGAGCTGTTATGTCCATTGCCCAGAGGCTGGGCCCAGACTAGGGGTCGCGCCCTCAGCCTCTGCCCTGTCTGCCTAGGCCCTGTGCCCTGAATCTGCTGCGGAGAGACGTGCTTGGGGCCTTCCTCCTCTGGCCCGAGCCGGGCGCCATCGGCCAGTGGTGTCTGTCAGTGCGAACGCAGTGCGGCGTGGTGCCCCACCAAGTCTTCCGGAACCACCTGGGCCGCTACTGCGTGGAAGTAAGACTGCGGGCCGCCTGCTCTGCCACTGGCCCCGCCTCTGGCCCCACCCCCACCCTTTATGCCCCACCCTTGTCTGCAGAGGTCTTGAGCCAGCTTCATCGGAGCCCCTCATTGGCTCTCTCTGGCCCCGCCCCTTGTTTAGCTCTCCACTTACTGCATAGCTCCTTTGTCATTGCGCCCTGCTAGCCCCGCCTCTGCTGTCTTCCCCTTGACTTGAAGGCTCTTGGAGGACTAGGGTGGTGCCGCCTCACCGAGGGCCTGCCTTTCCGCAGGTGGTTTCAGAGAGTCTGGGGTCAGGGTCATGCCTCGCATTTCTATAGGGATCCCGGCTTTCCCACACCCTAGCCCAACTTTTAGGAGAGGAGGAAGCTGACTCACAGAGGGAAGGGCTTGCTTAAGCTCACACAGCCTCAGACTGGGTCTGGAGTCATCTTGACCTCTGGTTTTCAGGGACTTGGCTGGGCTGGCAGGGCTTTTTAGACATGCACCCTTGCTTCTAGGCTGAAGGCTGCGAGGACGGAAAGAAGGAATGGTGTCTGACTGCTGTGAGCAGGACATGTTCCCTCTCTGAGCTCTAGTTTTCTTCTCTCTGAAATGGGTCAGGATCTGTGAGGGGAGTAGTGGGTACCTGGTGGGAGCCCTGAGGAGACGGAAGCTGGAGCTGAAGCTCCTTTTCCCCCTCTCCCCACCAGCATTTGCCAGCCGAGTTCCCCAGCCTGGAGGCCCTGGTGGAGCACCACTCTGGCACAGAGCGCAGCCTCTTCTGCTCCCTGGACATGGGCCATCTGAACCCTGACTACGAGGAGCAGGACTGTGGGCCTGAGGGCAGGCTACCCCGGATTCTCCGGCCCCTGGGCCATGCCAAGTCTGAGGCAGAGCTGCAGGGCCTGGGCTAGGTGCCAGGCCCCATGCCCACAGGCCCTGCCTCATCCCAGCTCCTGGGCCTCAGCAGGCCGCTCTGCCTTCTTCCACCCTGCTGGTCACCAGTCCTATCCGGTCACTCAGCCCCTTGGACTAGTCTTGTATCACTTCAGTACCTGTGGGAGGGGGACCCCTGAGATTCAGAGAGCCGCTTACAGGATATGTGACCTCCTGAGTTTTCAGGAGGGGCAGCAGAGCTCTAAGCTTCTGTTACTGTGCTGGGTGACTTTGGATGCTGTTGTATCTGAGCTTCCACTTAGCTTCTAGGATGGGAGCTTTCTGAGGTGGGTGGAAGGTTTTCTTCATGATGGAAGTGTAGGCTGGCCTTGGGGCCCTGGTTGAGAGTCCCCAGAGAGCTCCTGACTGAGGAAACCAGACAAGTGAGGGCGAGGTGCTGAGGGAAGCAGGAGTGAGTCCTCACTTTGGGCAAAGACTTGAGCAGTGAGTCAACCCCACACTGAGAGAGCGCAGAGATGACTTGGTGGAGCATGTGGGTGTGGGGGCAGAGGCTGACAGAACTCTGCCTGTTTCCCACATGAACTTTAGTTCTGAGGAATAGGGGTTAGGAAGGTGTGGAAAGGGCAGGATGGATAAAAAGTTGTGCCACGCAAAACCTGGGCACAGGTTAAAGCTGAGTGCAGAAAGGGACATGAACCAGCAGATAGAGCAAAGAATCTCTGTGTACTGCTTAGGAAGGCTGGTTTGTCCACACCCAAACCCACAGGATTGTGAGTCCAGCTTTCTTGGAAGTCATGCCCCAATACTCATCCCCTCCCCCACACTCCCAGGAACTACCAAGACCTGCCCACCACCGACGGCTCATTTCCTTTAGTCATTGGGCTGGGAGGGCTAGCAGTCTGGGGTTTGATGGCTGCCTTAGGAAGCCGCCCAATGCTGATACCTCCTTTAATGCGGTGCTGACCACAGTGTCAGGAGCCACCTGATCAGGCCAGCCCCGTTTCTTTCCCTTTCTTGAAGATGGGGTCCGAGCAGAACCAACCAAAGGTAGAACTGCTGTGGGCCCTGCTAGAGGGGGCTTGGCCTCAGTGGGCAGTGGGTCCAGGGAAATGACTCTAGTCTAAGGCAGTGGGCCCTGCTGGCGACTGACAAATCCAAGTGTCAGCTTGACAAATAGGAATCTACTGAATTGTTAAGTTTAGGGACCAGTTCATTTTGGGTGAACTTCTAGTCCTGAGGCAGAGGCCTAATCCCGAGTCTGGGGGCTGCTCTGTCCCCCATTTGGGAGTGGGATGTGACTGTTCAGTGCCTTGAAAGTAACAGATTTTGTATTCCTGGAAAAAGAGGGCAGCTCCAACAGAATAGAAAGCAGAGAGGCAAACTTGGTGAGTGAGAAGGTAGGATGCCAGGAGACTCAGGCCTGGTGTGCTCAGCCTGCAACTCCCACCCAGAACGTGATCTTAGCTAAGCACCTTGTGATTTTCTTGCCAGACGAGAGAGAGGTGTTGTCCCAAGAAACAGGAGGAAGCTGTTCTTTGGGGGTCCTTTTCATTGGAAACACAGCAGTAATCTTAGATTGAATGTGCATGGGAACCTGGGACTAGGTTTACAGCCATTTCTACTGGGCCCATCTCTTCCCTGGGCAAAGTCCTGGTCCTGAGTGGAGGTCCCAGCCTCACTTTCCCCTGATGAGGAAAGAGCTCTGTGATTCAGTGCCCTGGATTACAGCCCTGGTGACAGGCATTTAAGAAGAACTGTTAACTGGCCAAGGCTAGGGCCAAAGCTTACCTCAGTGAGGGATGGGTTTGTTGCTTTAACTATCCCTATCACTAGACAAGGGTGGTGGTGTGATGTCGATTCTGACTCATAGCAACCCTGTAGGATGGAGCAGAACTGCCCCATAGGGTTTCCAAGGCTGTAATCTTTACAGGAGCAGATTGCCAACTCTTTTCTCCGACGGAGCGGCTGGTGGATTCAAACTTCCAACCTGTCGATTAGCAGCTGAGTACTTAACTATTGCACCACCAGAGATCCTTGCAGACAAGGTGTCGGGAATATTCAGCACACTGAAAGACTGGCCTTCCCCCAAGCACTTTAACATTTCTTCAAACAGCATTTATTGATCACGTGTTACAAGTAGTGCAAGGTCTTCGGGCCATGTGTGCAGAAGTCCTCAATGTCTTAATTACAGGCCACAGTTTTCTCTCTGTTCAAACCAGCACTACCTGGGTAGCCTGGTTCTTCTTACTGTATGGACTTGAAACAAATAAAAATGTGTTTCTTCAGATTGTTTAGTACAGACTTTTCCTTAGAAAGGTGAGGTCTTTGTCCAGTTTGCCTGTTCTGTTTTTGTTTGTCTAACATACCTTCAGCTGGTGCTGAAGAGCCAATGGTGGACCAGACAGATGCCCTGGCCTGATGTCCTTAAAGAATCAGGTAAGTACATTTTATCATGTTCATCTTCTGCTTAAACCTTCAGTGGTATTTTCTATAGGGAAAAGACTCAAATCCTTATGCTCTGGCTTTTATCACTGCAGCATGCTACAGGACCTTTGCACAGCCTGGACAGGTTTTATCCTTTTCCTTTCCCTTCACCTGAGTAACTCAACCTTCACATCTGGCACCATGGCTGTCAGAGGCCACCTCACTGAGCCAACCCTATTTGTTTCCTTGGAGATGGGGTCTGAGCAGAACCACCTGAAGGTAGAACTGATGTAGGCCCTGCCAGAGGGGACTTGGCTTTGGTGGGCAGTGGGAATCCTGGAGGAATGACTCATAGGAAACCTCGTCTGACCCCCAGGCTTGGTGAGGCTGTCTTGGTAGATGTCCCATGAAACCAGACCTTTGGTTTATAATCATTTTCATTTGTGGGATTTTGTTTTCTAATGTCAGTCTCCCTACTAGACTCTGGGCTCCAGGAAGGCAGGGATTGGGCAGTCTCCCCAGGGCCTCTGTCACTGTGCCTGGCTTGTAGCTGACAGTGTTTATGTGCACAGAGGGGAGCCCAGGGGAGCCTTGACAGAGCCGCCCTTCTTACTGGGGGACGTGTGCTGAGCCAAGATGGGCGACCTCTCCAGCCAGAAGGCTTTGACTCCCAAAGCTTTTTTTTAAATCGTTGAGTAGAGGCGTGGCATTAGAGAAGCTTCACTCTGCACAGGGTGCTGTGGGCTCTGGGACAGCCTTCTCCTGAGCCAATACAGGTATACAGGCAAAGGGCAGCAGGGTCCTTGTTGCCTTTCTCAGTAGGTCTAACCTCCGTGTGAGATGTCTCTTGGTTCTCGCTTAGCTCTGTGGTGAAATGCAGCCTGGGCTCCGAATCTTGGCGAGACAACCTCAGGCAAGTTGCTTAACTCTCTGGACTGTGGGTGTGAGGATTAGAGAAGATAACGGAGCAGGCAGCCGCTCCAGGCAAGCCAATGCCGGTCTTTCCTGGAAAGCAGCCCACGCGTGCGCGCCTCTACCCAGGGAATGCTCGACGCTCCGCACCGGGACACCGCCCCTTGCGCCCCGCTCCTTGCGGCCAGGCGCGGAGAACGCAAAGACGTTCTCGGGAACGACGCCTGTGACGCCAGGGGCGTTGCCCAGCAACCGCGAACGCCGCGGCGGCGGCGGCGGGCGGGCGGCCGGCTCCGGGGGCTCGGGTCCTGCGGCGGAGCCTGCAGCGCGGATCCCCCACGTCCCCGCCCAGGCCGGGCCTCAGGGACGGGCGAGCCCGGGCGCAGGAGGAGGCGGCGGCCCCTGCCCTGTGATTCCCCCGCAGCCCCCGCGCCCCTACGCCGCCTCTCGGGGCGCCCCCGGAGGAATCCCGCTGTCCCGCCGCGGCCCCGCCTCCATTTCCAGGCCCCGCCCCCCGCGGCCGGCGCTGGCCACTCCCCTTGGCCCCGGCAGCCGCGGTTACCCCGGCCTGTGGGCGTCTGCCCCGGCCCAGGTGCCCACGTCGGACCGCGCTCCGGAGACCGCGGCCGCGGCGCCATGGCCTCCGAGTCGGTGAAGGTGGTGGTGCGCTGCCGTCCCATGAACCAGCGGGAGCGGGAGCTGAACTGCCAGCCCGTGGTGACGGTGGACTGCGCGCGCGGCCAGTGCTTCATCCAGAACCCAGACGCCGCCGACGAGCCTCCCAAGCAGTTCACTTTTGACGGCGCCTACTACATGGATCACTTCACCGAGCAGATCTACAACGAGATCGCCTACCCGCTCGTGGAGGTGAGGGCGCCCGGGAGCAGCTCGCTGCCTTTGAGGACTGGCGGGCAGGGCCTGGGGCCAGCCTGAGGGGACTGAAGGGACAGCATTGCCCCCAGGCCAGGAGGGAAGGCCTCTGAAGGGCGCAGGTGGACACCGACAGGTTGGTCTGAAGATTCTTGTCCAGGCAGGAGACAGCTGGAGTGCACAGACAATGTCCTGCCCAGGCTTCCACTGTTACCAATGCCAAAGCTGGTCCTCACCCTGCTCCTTCCAGCTCTCTTCCCTCAAGAACTCCAGCCTCCATATCCACTTGCCCTCCACCTAAATCCTCGAACTTCAGGACTTCTCTAAAACTCCAGTCACTTTCCCCAGCCACCAGCCTTCCTCCCAAGAGCCCCATCTCCTCCTTCTCCCAGGCCACAGCCTCTGCCTCCTGCTCCTTCAGTCCTGCATTCAGAATCCTCTCCCCTATGCTCCCTGAGAGGCACTTGCAGATACAAGAGGTCTCTGTAAAATCTCCCTGGTTCCCAACTTCTGCATAGAAAAGGCGGCTTGCCTAGCCCTTAAGAGGAGCAGAAATCCTTCACCTTTGGGTTAATTTATCATCTTCTTCCTCAGCGGTTGAGGAACAGGGAGAAAATAACAGTTTCTCACACTTTATAGGACTTTTGCTTCCATATCTCACACAAGGAAGCTCCTTTGAGCTTCATAATAAGGGAGGTGCTCACATTTCAGAAATGGGGAAACTGAGGCCCAGAGGGAAGAAATCTGTCCAGGCTCCCACAGTGAGTTTCTGGCAGAGGTAGAGCTGGAACTACATCTCCCACCTCCTGGC